ATACATATGAACGTGATGCATTGCTGGAATATATGGCTAGAAATGATAATATGGATCCCAAATCTAAGCAGCGTATTGCCAAATGATGAGCTTCGTCCTAATTCTATTATTAAAAAATTTGTTGACAATTTTCGAAAAACTAATTTGGTTTAAAAAATTGCCTTTAGTTTCTTGCTGTGTGTTAGCTAGCCTTAGTGCTATTTTGTTTTTATCATGCAATAATTATTTTTTACATTAATGGAATACATTTCCAACAATTTCACTATATAATAATAATTATTATTATTTCAGTTTAAGCATACAACAAAATTTAAAATGATGAGTATTGGTATGATAATCAAAGATAAAGACTATAGCAGTAAACACAATATCTCTCTTTATCCTTAATCCTTATAAAAAACATTACTATCAGGCATATGCAAAATATACATTTATCTAAGAATCTTCTCTAATCTCCTAATGCAACAGACTGGGAGAAAGCAGCACCCCGGTCCCCGGCTAACAATAGATACAAGTGGCAGTATTATTAGTATTAATATTAATGCTACTCACTGTGCTCCAAGTGTGCAAAATGTCTGTAAGAAAAAGTCCGTAAGTCTCTGCACAATATCTTTATAGGATTGACTGACTAGTACAAAAAACTACTGCAACTATACAACAAGCTTATACAATGAATGCAACAGCTATTTTTAAAATATACTATTGATCTAGTAGCAGGTAATCTGCATATACGGGCTGCATATAAATTGGCATACCAGTATTGTGGTAAGTATAATCTAAAGAAATTCACAATAATATTAATAGCTATAGCATTAAAAGTAAATCATCAAGCAAAAAAAAGATCTAGCTAATGAAGTCAAAAAATCAAATAGTTTCATGGATCGGGCATTTCACTCTTTTTGCCAACACAAAACCAATGATGCTAGTAATTAGTCAGGAAAATATCATGAAGACTCGTATTCGGTATTCTTCAATCTTTTGCAGGACATTTCTGACCTTTTGATAGCTGTTATAAAAATGATTATCACCAATACTGATATAACAAAGCAGCAGAAGATTCCAAAAATACTGTAACCTATGGCTATGTATCCTTCTGTATCTTTTCCCCCTTTTCTGAATATAATTTGCCATATGAGTGTACAGTCTAACTCTTTGTTTAAACTATAACGAGAAAAGGGAACTAAGATAAAATTAACAAAAGGAAGAAGAGAAGTCACAATAGCAACTGGTTCTAATTTTTTGAAGCTGCTCATTTCTTTAAGTTTCACAATACAAATGAAGAGGATTATAGCTAGCCAGAAGGTTAGTATTATGTTGACATGACAGGAAATGACTGGGAGCACTGTAGAAAATGATCTGTTTTTGTCAAACTGATGAAACAGAAATTGTGATAGGGAGAAGATCAGCATTGTGATCAGTTTGTACAATATCAGTCTCTGTACAATATCTTTATAGAATCGACTGACTAGCACAAAAACCAGTGCAACTATACATGTCACAGATCCAATACCTCCCATTACTCCTTTAACTATGGTTTCCTCATTTATTTCATCAGTGCAGTTACTGTTGCTGTTGTTGTCCATTTTGTTAGTTCCTGAAGGGAAAGGAGAAAGAGAGTATACAGCAGCAATGCCAGGAGGAGGAAGTCAAAGGACAAGGTCAATCTGCTATCTCACCTTGTTACAACAAGCTTATACAACTATAATGAGTAAAAAAGCTATTTTTAGAATATTGATCTAGGTCTATAGTATAGCACATATCTATTTTTATTCACACATGATTTATGATTTAGGTTGTCGAATATATATTTTTGCGCATTATTCATACAAGTGATATAACTAGCTCAGTTGCATATGCAATCTTGCCAGTCTAAAGCCATTTAAAGCTCACAAGTAAATTATTAAAGCATAAAAATAAACACCTTCACACACTTATTGTAATAAAAAATTAGATAGTAGAACTATATGATGATGTTCTAGTATAAATATACTCAGTCCTAGCATTAGTAGATGCTACTGTATCACTCGTAAACACATCACTTTTTGCATTAGCTGATGCGTCTACATTCTGAATGAAAATTTGCCTTTTTCTTTGCTTCTTTTTGCATGTTAGTATGGACAAATGGAGAATGACAGTAATGCCTGTTGTTAGACCAACAGAAGAGCCTAATATATAGACAAATATTCCGTCATGAGAATTGTCTTTAATGTAGTAATGAAGCACTAGAATAAAGTAAATCAATGTCATTGCAGTGTTGATTATAGGATATGCTACAATTGGTAGTAGCTGGTTGCTCACTGCTCTCCATTTATTGTTAGTGAGCAATAGAGACTCATGTTCACATTGTTCAGTATCTTTTTGTTTCTTGCAAGACGGTTGTGACCTTTTGACAACTACTATAAAAATTATTATCACTAATAGCGACATAGTAAAATATACCAGTCCAACCATACTATAACCTAAGACTACATATTCTTTCTCCTTTTCTGAATTTAATCTGCCATGTAAACCTGCAATCATCATCTAAAATCAAACGTGAAAAGGGAACTAAGATAAAACTAATAAAAGGAAGAAGAGAAGTCAAAATAGCGATTGGCTCCAATTTTTTGAGGTTGCTTAGCTCTTTCAGTTTCACGATACAAATGAAGAGGATTATAGTTAACCAGAAGGTGAATATTACGTTGACACCACCAGTAGTGATTGGGATAAATGCAGAGAACGCTCTGTACACATTTGATTCATCAAATTGATCAAGCATAAATTGTGATAGTGAGTAGATCAACACTGTAATCAGTTTGTACAATATCAGTCTCTGTATGATATCTTTATAGAATCTACTTACTAGTAAAAAAATCAGTGCCACTATACATGTTACAGACCCAATACCTCCCATTACTTCTTTAACTATGGTTTCCTCAACATTTCCTTCATGACTACAGTTAGTACTGACATTGCTGATATTATCCATTTTCTACTGAGAGAGAGAAAGAGGGATAGCCCTCAGCAGTGTGGGAGAGGAAGTAAAATTAATCATGTTACTACATCTATATATAAACTAGATGTCATCTATATATAGATCTAGATGTTATAGATGTAGTAACACGTGATGATTAAAATAACTCGGAGTTATTTTTAGAATAGAGTAGTGGCAACACTATATTAGGCGGTTCACACTGACTTTTA